TTCAGGCGCACGACCCATTTATCTGGTGAAACGTTCGGAATTCATGTAGTTGTGGAAACCTGAGTCAAAATATAAAGAAGCTATGCGACCGTTCAACGCACGCGCTGCGGGTAGCGCATAAGTTGCGATGAAAATCTTCGCCATCGTGAGGGGCACAGCAGTCATCACGCGTCTCGTTTTTATCGTAGCTATGTGCTGCCCTTCGCTGAAACCCGGCACACTCCACCTTCCAGCCACCATAACCTGGAGCGTTCTTTGTTGCCAGTTCGTCGATCGCCTGCTCGATCTCTGCCACGCTTGTCGGTTCTTCAAGTTTTACTGTTATCGTTTCATCGAGACGGGACACCAGTGCTAAGTAATCTTCAAGTGGCGCGACGCTGCCAAGTTCCTGTCGCAGAAAACAACTATTATAATATTCAATGAATGCTTGTCCCATAACCTCCGGGTGACTACATGGTAAGCCACCGTATTCTATTCCGATTCTGATTTGTTTTTTCCCTTACATGCTAAGTCTCGGCTCTTAATGCCCCTTCCGTAAGCAGCGGGCTCCTCCTCTAAATTGTGTTTAGCGGCGCGGGCACGTGCGATGGCCACTTTATACTTTTCCACCTCTAAGTCCGCAATTGTACTTTTTACTGTCTTAATTTGTTCCGAAAGCAGACCTGGATTTTCATTTTTGAGTTTGCACAGCCGGTGAAGGTAACTAAAGAGTTACTTTTATTTTGTTATTTTCCAGAAAGCAAGCGTGCAGGAGCGTTATATTGCACTAAATTTAACTTAGCGCTGAAACCATACCCATTTTTCGCACGCGCTCACCCATACGGGGTGCATTTTACTTAGAGGGGTGCTGAACCGAAATTTGGATTTTGCAAAATAAGGTCGCAGAAGTGTTGATCGGGACGCTACGAACTGCAAAACATCACTCGTAAATTGATATTTCAAAGGGATGGCCGTATTTTTGGGAAAGAGGGCGCGATCAAGCGAGGGCTATGACGTCACGCTCCTCCTCGAAGAGTTGAGAATGAGGGCAAGCGCCATCGCTTCTCTCCTCCTCGCTTCGGTTCACCAGCTCGACGGGGGTACGAGGGGCGGATTAAAGGGAGTTAGATTCGTGACGTCACATGTGTCTTTGGCCCTGTTGGCCGTGTTGAATCGCGCACTTCTCGTCCAAAAATACGACCATCCGTTACAGCAGGGGTGCACAACATGCGGCTAGCGGACATGTGTGCGCCTGTGCGGCCAGTGGGCATGGCACTGCCGTATGCGCTCAAGACGGCAACCAGTGCGATTATGCCAGATATTGAAAACCCGCGCAGTTCCCAATAAACATGTTCAATTTTTTTTTTTTTTTTTGCCCGCGTCATTTTTGGGTTGTGCACCCCCTCGTTTTAGATATCGCTCTATAAGTAATATGTTTTCGGATTTGGCAGCGTCCCGCCTATCGCTCCAGACTTGTTTTGTGAGTTCCGAATTTCGGTTCAGTATCCCTTTAACAATTGATCTACATATCTCAAAGAGAACGTTATCCTTAAGATGAGTATCATTCATTTTTCACTGGTCCTAACAAAACCGAGGTTTTTCCTTGTAACCATCAACAATAATTTAAAAAAAAAAACTAGTGCATGATTAAAAAAAGAAAACGGCACATTATGGTCTTCGTATCGGGTCAAAAGTTAGATTGACACGTAAGCTCTATCAAGACGAGCATTTCTTGAGGGCTGATAATGTGCGTACCATAAACATTCGTTAATTCTTTAGTAAGCTGAAACGTCCTGCAAACTGTATTTCGTAATCAAATTTTCTTAAATTGGTTATACCACTGTCGCCTTGTCTTATAATTTTGGATCAGTGCGGTGCGCCTAAACACAGTTAAAATCACCTAACAAGAAAACTTAACGTTGACAAACTAAGTTATGGTCAATGCTCTAGAAAAACACTTTCATTTGGTTAAGGACATTAGGTTATATACATTTATAATACGATACACAACATAAGAAATGCAACAGTCGCGAATAACGAGCTGACCAAGACTGTCAACTATAACTGATTGAACTTGCGCGTTCAAGTATATTTATAAAAACAACATACAACTCCCTTACACACCATTTGCTAGCGGCACGCACAATTCGAAAGAATGCAAGAAAGATGCCACTAGGCATGCGGTCTCTTCGTCACTTCAAACTTATGAATCACAAGGACGCCTATATGTTTGTCGATTAGGAGCCTCTTAAACTGATATTGCTGGCGGCACGGGCAAAGCGTCGAACGTTAAGTGTCGCCACATTTAGCTTTCCGGCGTAAAGAGGACCTCATATAACATGGACTCACCTTGTCTAGAGCTCCACAACAGTTACCGCCTCATACCTCGTCAGCCGGTGGGCTTCTCCGGTGCTCTCGGTTAGAAAACAGAAATCGATGCGAGACGAGGCGGTTTCTTCCTCGCGGGTACCGTCTTCACAAACGGCTCCTTCATGTTTGAGTCACCACTAACCTTAGCTGCGTCCGAGTCCGAATCATAATCGAGTTCCCATGGTCTTTTTGTGGCCCGTGCACAAGCATCAGCCATACCCTCGACAGACGGCCTTTGCGACGTTGCCCAGCTGCGTCGCAGAGGTCGTCGTTGGCTCGGCGGCTCTCGCCTGTTTCGCTTCCCTCTCCGGTGCAGCGTTGAAAGGTGTCTTCTCGTCTATCCACGTTGAGACCGCAGCAACTTCTGTGGCTTCCGCCATCTTCGCAAACTCTGCAGGCGCAACTCGGTCGGTGTCATTCTTAGCCCCCTACAAAAATGTGTGTGGACGTCCTATGTCCATTGTTTTGCCGTTCTATTTCCCCTTTGTCCATCCTATGGATTCCTGTAGACAGTTCTTGGACTCTGTATGGATCGCTGGTTTGCCATAGAACGGCCACAAAAGCGCTACAGGGATCTCCGCGAAACAAAAAGTTTTCTTTTTCCTTTCTATTTCCATGCTATGGTCCTTGTGTGTCTGTGGACATCCTATTGCCTCTCTGTGGTGTGAGCTATAGATCGGTAGATTAATAAAGTGATGCCGGGTATTTTTGTTAGGCGTAGTGAGGTGTCTGAGTTAAAGAGTTGTTAATTAAGCGCACCGCATCAATATGTTACATTGATATCTAGAGACACGTTTTTAGCAGGGAAATTTTTTCGCTGAATTTAACGGGGAAATTTTTCCGCTAAATTTAGCAGGGAAATTTTTCCCGCTAAATTTACCAGGGAAATTTCTCCCGCTAAAGTTAGCAGGGAACTTTTTCCGCCTAAATTTGGTGGGAAAAGTTTCCCTGCCAAATTTAGTGGAAAATTTTCTCCGCCAAATTTAGCAGGGAAATTTTTCTGCCATATTTAGTAGGGAGATTTCTCCCACTAAAGTTACTGGGGAACTTTTTTCCACTAAAAATGGCGTGGAAAAGTTCCCTGCCAAATTCAGCGGAAAATTTTCCTTGCTAAATTTAGCGGGAAATTTTTCCACTAAATTTGGTGGGGAAAGTTTTTCCACTAAATTTAACGGGCAAATATTTCTGCCAAATATAGCAGGAAAAGTTTTCTGCTGAATTGTGGGGGGAAATTTCTCCCGCTAAATTTAGCGGGGAACTTTTTTCCACAGAATTCGGCATAAAAAGTTTCGCTGCCAAATTTAGTGGAAAACTTTTCTCCGCCAAATTTAGAGGTTACTTTTTTTTCGCTAAAAAAGGCAGGGAAAAGTTCCCCGCCAAATTTAGCGGGGAACCTTTTCCGGTAAATTTAGCAGGGAATATTACCCGCTAAATTCGCTCATAATGCCCAGTGCGGTTACGCCACGCCACTCAAGCCAGAAACAAGCGCCTGAGAGCTGCGCGCCAAAAAAAAAAAGAATTGTAAGTTGGACTGTTTCTTGTCTTTCTTCCTTGTCCCTATCTTGTTGCACTTTTTAAATACTAAGAATCATATGTTCACCACACTCAAACATTGCTGGGTTATCATGACAAAATAAATTCCGTACCATTAAACTCATGCTCATACATTGACCACGACACCACTCATTTTGGGTAACAAAAGGTGTCGAATTCTGACAATTTTGAATCCTTATAGTCAATGCGGACGACAAGAGAATGTGTGGAAATGTTTATTTTTCAAAAAAGAATGCTGGAGAAAGAACGTCTAGGAAAGTGATGTGTGTGGAGAGAAGGTCCCGAGCAGAGCTGCAGGGCCTTCCCACTCAGGTAGGCTATCTTATTTTACTGACAAGGGGACAAAACACTTTATTTTACAAGGCTATGAACAAAGACATGTGCATTGCCAAACACTCTCCGAAAATAATGAAAACCGGTCGGGCTTTTACAACTGGGAGTACCCAAATTTTAAGTTTTTTTCAAATATCCCCGAATCAGGATTATTTTTACAGGTTCATATTCATCAAATTTTTGCGACATACATTTAAGCACACTAAACCATGTGAATAACTGATCTTAAATGCACAAGCCAGCATTTTGGTTCACCACTTGAAAGGGAACTTTGTAACACTCTTAAAGGGATGCTGAACCAAAATCCCCATTCCACAAAACAAGCGGCAAAAGCGTGCAGCGGGATGCTACTAGCATCAGAACATCACTCATACAGCGATATCTCGAACGGATGACCGTATATTTAAAAAAAAAATGAGGCACATTTGACAGAAATGTTTACGTCATGTTTCTCCGAGAAGGAGAGAGAACAGCCTTGCGTCTTTTCCACGTCGCCGCCTTGAGGGAGCGAAGCGAAGAGAGGAGGAAACTAGGTATCTTCATATCACACGCCTCATCGACCTGGTTCAATCTCGACCTCTTTTTCCAAAAATACAGCCGTCCATTCGAGATATCGCCTTACGAGTAGTGTTGTAGGGATGTAGCGTCCCGCCTACATTTCCTGCATTAGAGGTGAAAATGGGTAGTACGGGGGGCAGGAGCACAGTCATGCAGCTTTACACAGCTCTCTGTCTTGTCCCCCTAAAAATCATTACTATTATGATTTAAACAGCCTCAAACATGTATGTCTGATCAACACAACATAAAAACAGACTTCCTTCGACTTTAAGGGCAACACACTTCTTGGCTGAGAATGCATTTACCTTCACAACACGATTGGTCAATTGCACGCAAGAAAAGTTTCTGGTCATCATAGGGAGATCCATAAGCACCGATTGACATCTCAGCTCCTGAACATAAAATAATACAGAGCTTTCAGATTGATCAGACATGTGACGACCCTGCGTTCTCGAAAAAATAGACACAATTCTTCCCAAAACATGGCTTCCATCATCACACACTGCCTCTACGTAAGAGTTCAGCCGACGAGACTTGTCCAGCCGCTCAACACAAAACAGGACTCCGTTCATTCTAACCTTACTGAAGGAGATGCCTTCAGGAGATACCTCAGATTTGCCATAAAAGACACAGCCAGACAGGCATGTACAGAATTTCTTCAACTTATAGTGTTTGATCAATGTTGTCATTAAATGACCAGCAGACGATTGAGAAAAAAAAGTGCTACGGCTACATAGCTTTGGCAGAGCTGACATAATAAGGTACTTCTCCACAATCTGCCAGTGTGCATACCGTGTACCGTTGACAAGCTTGACAATGGAACCGTTCATGTTTTCAAATGAATAGGCTGAATAGTTCCACAACGGACCCCATTCTCTTACATAGTCAACAAGATGCAGAAGAAGGTGTGCATTGTATGTGATGTGTTCTTTGCCATACAGTTTTTCATATTCTTTTAGAAAAAGTTTCATTTGTTTCGCAACACTTCGAAGCTCATCTAAAGGTATGGATTCCTTCAAAAGAAAATGCATTAAATAAACAAACTGTACCCAGTTCTTGTAGTACACAGGTGGAAGAAGTCCCCTAAGAACAACTGGAGAAAAATACAGCAACCAATTGCGCCATTCCGAGGACTTCCAGTACCGCCTGTGCACCAAAGAACGAGGGAGCCTTGACATCTCATGAATTGGTTGAAGGCTCAGCAACCTACTGTCAACGACAGAGATCTTACCTCCCATGCTAAATGGGAACGCTGACTTGCAGTCGAACCACATGCATGTCGTGTACTTCACAAACCCTGAACACACAGCATGCATGTAGTCGACTACGAAGCCTGTAGGAAACTTAAAAAAAGCTAGGAGCAGGAGAACAGACACGCCTTTAATGCCACGGCATGGTGTGGCATTGCGCTCTGCTTTCTCTGCATTCATCTGAAAAGATGCATGCGTTCTCATAGTCTCATTACTTGAGACTGGGTACACGCGGCAATGGCCTTTTCCTTTCACAACAACTTCCCCTTTGTGTTCGCACCATGCACACCCATATGCTCCATTAAACTGAGTCATGTTCATAACCATGGATCTGGCTACAGTATCCACTGAACATGGCCCAGGAAACACATGGGTGTGCATGGTGTCGCCACTTGGAGCAGTCCATGTGAACCCATCTGAGGCAAGGCGGTTGATCTCCTCAACAAAGGGCTTCAAAAAACAATTCATGTCGGGCTTTCGGGATCCAAACCATAACCCAGCTAACATAACAGAGTTGGTTCGTTCCTTCTGTGGTAGTTCGTTCACCTGCAGCTGCAGGGGCCAGACACTGAACTTCGATGATTCATACAGAGGTACACCATCAGTGTTCCATGTGAAACTGATGTCGCTTGGTGTCAGGGGCAACTCATTGTAGGCCTTGCTAAATGTGATGTCCCCAACATCAAGCGACACCTTCTTCGGTTTTAGCAACACTGAGCTTTTTGGATCCTCTAGGATGTCACGGCACTGACTTTCAATGTCAAGTGTAATAAAAAAAGTGCCATTTTTTGTCAAGTTCGAAATTGTGTGCCTGCTTTCACAATCAGAACAGAGGATGTCAGTGTCCTCATCATTAGGAGCACCAAGATACAGCATAGTGTCTGGGCAGTAGAAATGAAGCTTAGCTAGCTTTTTACACCCTGAAAACTGCTTATAAAAGAGGTACTTCGACATTGGAAACGACGTTCCTTCCGGCAGGTGTGCTTCAATCACCTGAAGCAGGCTTTCAGTCGCTTCTTTTGTACCATGGTGGCGCAGGCTATGGCCCATTACCAGCAGGAGGCTTTCACCTTGGCTGATTCGGCAGCCAGGATAGAGCTTGTCATCCTGGAAAAGAAAAAAAAGCATTACTACATATTACAGCATTTCTACAATTACTGCTGAGCTCCTTGCACTCCATCGCGATATCCTTCCTCTTTTGAGCATTACGATTTATGACATACGTTTCAACTTTCTTGGTTACTTCCCAGAAATGTGTAGAGCTTTCCTATATATATTCACAATATCTTTGCATGGAAATGCTTTTAAAAAACTTGTCGGTTTTATTTGAAAAGGAAGAACCATAGTCATATGGCAGTTCCTTAATCTCCCCTGATGAAAATTAATGGGTTCTAATTGAAAACCCATCAGAAGTCCAAAAACCTAACTGGTTCAAATTGGTTCCTAATGGGTTTTTGTCCAAAACTTAGCTGGTACCAATGGGATTTTTCAGCTGGGCCCTGCTAAAGATCAATGGGTTCTAATAGACGATTTGCAATTTTCCCAAGCGCCCCGGCCCGTGCATGAGGAAGTGTGGGAGAGATAGTTCCTCGTCTGACTGCTCTGCCTTGAGATCGCATTGCCTTGTCTCCCCTTAATCCTCTGTTTTTCAATTTCATTATCTATTATATCTATTCCAGTGTATTTTTATTGCTTCGAAGCGTTTCTATTCCCTTCTGCGCACAATATTTCTTGCATACATACAGTATTTGTGTCCTTATTTTGCCTTCTTCAACGGGAGTGCCGACGGACAACACACCGCTTCGCACGTCGTTCCCTGGGTGAGTACTACCGTTGCTACCGATTCCTGTCGCGCTGTTAGCTGTTCATTTTGGTTCATCTGACGCGCGTGCAGTCGAGAGGAGCCATTTATGAACACCCTCGCACATGTTATTGGGGTAGGCAGAGCTCTGAATCGACAATTGCGACGCGAGAGGTGAGTGGTTGAGTGCGGTGCGATTTAGCCGCCCGCGCTTACTTTGATGACTTGCACTGTAGCGTGTGCCTTCCAGTGCCGACTAAGATACAGCACATCGCTTTGCCGTCGCGAATCATTTGTCCGAATGCCTGCGAAACCGTAACACCGTTCGGCATATCCAACGCTGCGGCGCCTGACAATTGCACGCAGCGGCGCAAGCCCTTAAGCGCGAAACACATGTACGACGAAACTGTCCGATCCGACGTCCGACCGCGCAATACGACGGTCGGACGTCGCGGGTGTTTATAAACGGCTCCTCTCTACTGCACGCGAGTCAAATGAACCAAAATGAACAGCTAACAGCACGACAGGAATTGGTAGCAACGGTAGTACTCACCCCTGGAACGACGCGCAAAGCGGCGTGTTGTCCGTCGGCACTCCCAACGAAAAAGGCAAAATAAAGACGCAAATACTATATATATACAAGAAATATTGCATGCAGAAGAAAATAGAAACACTTAGAAGCAATAAAAAATTAATTGGAATGGATAAGAATAGGTAATGAAACCGAAAAACAGAGTATTAAGAGGAGGCATGCGACAAGGCAATGCAATCTCAAGGCAGAGCGGCCAGGTGAGGGACAGACTCTCCAACAATTCCTCGCGCGCAGGCCGGGGCGCTTGGATTTCACAAAAGGCCTATTGGAAACTCATCAGGTTCCAATTAGAAATCAAAGACCTAAATGGCTCAATTGGCCCCTAGCGAGGTTTTTTGTCCGAACACCTAAGACTAAGGCTATATGCAAGACGTCGTGCACCTTGACCGGAAGTGGCTATACGCACGATGTGGAGAGCTCATTCCGGACAGTGCGTGTATCACTGGGAGCTCGTTAACCTCCCTCCCCCCTACTGTGTTCACGCTGCTTTGTGGCAACAGTATGCGGCTCATAATTGCAAAACTATGAACCCACTTAGGCCCCCCCCCCCCCGATCACGCTGCTTTGCGGCGTGCAGCCGGCGACCCAAGCCATGCACCTCCAAAAAGGAAGCCCCATGCCATTTTGTTAAGCGAAGTTTCGTCGAAAACATTAGCTTTTTTCGGTGTTAATCGTAAGAAAGAAATGTGAATATCGCCAAATGCCTCAACAAAACAAAACGTTGGAGAGAAAAAAAAAAAACCGGGTCCGCTGCGAATGAGGCACATGCATTACCGCTATGCTACACTACAGCTTCGAAAATCTTGTTTTGACAGTCAGTTTCATATGAGAACCAAAAAGTTTTGCGTTGTGCGTATAGCCGCTTGCGGTCAAGGTGCACGACGTCGTGCGTACAGCTTTAGTCAACACCTAATTGGTACCAATGTAATTGTTCAGCTGGGTCGCATAGACTGGTGGTGGAAATATGTGTGGACCAAGTCCTGCTCTCCTCAATTGCAGCCCCCAAAACTTTTTTTTTTTTGGTGATAATTGTAAAAAAGAAATGTCGTAAATATTGGAAAATGCTGTTCTTAAAAAAAAGAGTTGACTTGTACTATGGTTCGAACCCGTGACTTGCAGCGTATGCAGTAGACACCTTTCCACTACGCCACACTAGTTTCAATAGATACGATTTGACAATTTGTTTTATACTAGACCGAACGAGTTTCGCGTAGTCCATATAGACCAATCCATTTAGTGCTCTCTGGGCAGCACCATTTTGTTCGACAGCAGCGCCCTCTCCATACATCAGGGAAATTCAGCGGGTTCGGCGGGGTAAAACGAGAAAGAAAGCACGCGCCCAACTCCGCTAGCAGGCGACAAAACAGGAGGTTGCCATTCTCCATCTTTGGGCTGTATCGGCGGGCTGTACGGAACATCAAACTCTCACTCGTGGCTGCCGTTGTGAAGTGGTTCGCGTTATTAGAATAGTTATGGCGACTCCAAAATCAGCCTAGAGCTCTCTGTTGTTTTACTTCGGTAAACGATCAACTGATATATCTTTTTTCTGTTACTTAAACAGCAGTTGAGTCAGCCGGCAGTACTACCCTCAACTACTGCGTGTATTGTGGCAGGAGAGCACGTTTGTATTTATTATTTCAGACATCCACTCATGGTCGCTAAAGGCCTACACCAGTACGAACTTTGTATGGTAAAAAAGGTACAGCCACTGGATTCACTTTCCACTTGAGAGACCGGCCAGTCCGACACAGTTTTCCCTATCTTCTTTTTTTTATTTGCACGCAGATAACAGAGCAATTGGACTCTTAGTCTTTTTTTTATCTAGCATAGTAATACACGATATCTGGCATACCAAAATCTGCGCATATGTGCTTGAAATTCCCAAAATTACGCGATTTTAAACAGAGGTTGTACGCCAGCCGGATGCTAGGTACTGCCCACTCGGCGGAGCAGACGACAGGCGGGCTAGAGCATTTTTTTTTTCTCTTTTACCCTCTCTGCTATGACCCTCATAGAACGGTCTATAGCAACTTCTAGTGAAGCTGCACTACGTAGTGCATATAGCATTACTCTTATGCAAGATTGAGCCATTATTACCAGTTCGCTGATTTCTGACGGTACTGAGCCAGTCTCACTAGCTGCAGGAAGGACACTTTCGTCGCTGCTCGATGAGTCTGCACCGTCCTCGCTGCTCGATGAGTCTGCACCGTCGTCCCTGTTCGGTGGTGTGCTCGGCACCGCGTTAGTAGCGGTGGGAGGGATGTTCTCGTCACCACTCGAGGATTCTGTAGTAGTGGCGTCGCATGAAGGGGTCGTCTGCATCGCGTCATTTGCACCGTGCATGTCGTTTGACGCCGCTGAGTTCTCTCCGGTTGCAGGAGGGGACGCAGCATCACTGGCGCCAGCGACGCTTCCAACTGCATTTCCCTTGTCTAATCTGCGCTTCGTGCGCCCCGGCATTTCATAACTTCGATCCCACAAGTACTCCTTGTAGCGCTTCCTTCGCTTTCTTTGCTTCCTCCGAGGCTCCGCATCACCCCGCACCGCACTACCCGGCACCGCATCGCCCGGCACCGCTTCACCCGGCATTTCTGTATTCCTAGTCAAGCTACAGAACTACACACAATCGATTCACCGGAATGGCAGCAAAGCGGGGACAAAGCACCGCAAAGCACGCATCAGCGAAACCTGCATTTGTGGCTTTGATATTGGATTAAGCTTGGCTTTTCTGAAACAAGCTGTTGCCAGACGCGCAGCCTGAAAGTGCCCAGATCGACCGAAGTCGCCGAAAGTGTCCGACTGAACTTGGTCATAACACTTTTTAAGCGTTCAAATGCTCTGAAATTAAAAAAAAAGTTATATTTACGAAATTCAGGGACTTTGGAAACTCAACAAGTTTTCCCACGCTTTAGAAATGTAATAATACTGCAACATAAATATGTTACAAAACCCTTCTTGCATCAGGGCGGTCGCTTCCAAGGAAACGTCGATAGGTGGCGCAGGCTACCGCCCAATATAGTTGCACAGGCCAAGGTGGGTACTATCCATTCTGCAATTCTGTTTATTTGGTTGCACCGTTGCACCACGTTTCTTCGCCGTTCACCCATTTCGCCTCGGATTTTTGTTCTCGGTCTCTGTATACCATGACGCATATCTTAATCAAGTGGAAAAGCGCCAACAAATGGGACGTTTATTCTGTGAGAACGCTAGTGGACGAGGAATTGTCGTGCCGGCTCTGCAGTGACCCAACATACATCGATCTTGTCCGTGACAAGGACCACCTCGTCAAATGGGACAAGAACAAGGCAGCAGCACCAGCGTACTTGTTGGCAATAGGTGAGCTTCTTAAGTTGTCTTTGCCTTGTAATACCGCGTTTCACATTTCGGCGTCACCTGTGAAGAGGTAGGGCCAGTTATTTCGAAAAAAAAAAAGTGTAAAACGTGTCCGCTCCCAGCTCTATGATCTTGTCGCGCCGTTTTGTTGCAGGACCAGTTTGCTAGAAACTGCGTCTTAGCTAAGATTTCGTGGGAGACAGCATTGCCAAAACTAGCGCACAAATGCAGTTGCTCGGGATGTTTTAAGCGCTCGAGCGGCCCATGCTTCGCAGGGGCACGTTTTGTGCCACCAACCTCCGCTGTAAAAGTTAGACTTCTCGCCTTGTGTAAATAAAACGCAATTAAGTGTCGATGTCGTTTTTGTGCCGTCACGGTATGTATATTAAAAATTTGTACAAACGTAGGCAGTGCCGTAGCTAGATATTTATTCGAGAAGCGGGGGGGGGGGGGGGGGGGAGGGAGGGAGGGAGGGAGGGAGGGAGGGAGGGAGGGGAGGGAGAGGAGAGAGAGAGACAGACAGACAGACAGGGCTGGGCCAGCTGGGCCCTACGGCCCTGAACGTAAACGCAAAAAAAAACTGTGTTGCAAGTATTGCAACGTCGAGGTGTTGGGAGAAGTTGCTCTGTTTAACGTCAGTGTTACGAAGTTGCTTGGTATATTTGTTTTCTTAATTTAGGAGGAGAGATGGCAATGGAGAAAAAGAGGAACAGGCTGGCTGCCACATATGAAGAGCTGCATCCACAAAAGGTACCACAGAACTAGGAATGAGATAGAAGTTACAAATTATTATGTATTGACTTGCCCTTTTCTAATGTTGACTTGTTTTCATGGGGCTCTACTATGCTTGTGTGGTTGTTGAAGCCGTAAAGAAACAAGTTATTTACGTGACAACACAATACCAAAATTTATTCCAGGTTCTGAGAGGCACGTTGCCGCAGAAAGTCTTGTGTCCCATGCCTTAAAGGGGCCCTGCAATCATATTTAAGCATCTACCTTCTTTTGCGGTTTCCACGTCCTTCAGGGTTCGGGCAAGCCAGCGGGAACGGAGAGAGTAACTAAATATTAGTGCGTCATATTTTAACTGGACGACACGGAAACCTCCACCTGCGGAGGCAACCCGCGGTGCCGAAAGCGTGCGATATGTGACGTTTTTGGTCCTGGGCTTACTACTGGTCAGAGCCACTATAAGCTTCTTTTTAGTCGAAATACAAAATACAAGTGGTGCGAACCGTTTCAGTTGCTTTGTTCACTATTTTTTGGTCAGAAAAGAAACAAATGCAGTTTAGAGAGTACGGAAACAAGAAATGACCCGTCGACATACCTGCCACGTTTCAGTTGCTTTGTTCACTATTTTAGGTCAGAAAAGAAACAAATGCAGTTTAGAGAGTACAGAAACAAGAAATGACCCGTCGACATACCTGCCACCAAGCAGTGGGAAAGGCGGTGCACACTAGAAAGGTGTTGTGGGATGAGGCACCCACAAGCGGCGAGCGTAGAAAGGTCCCGGATGTATGTGGCGGCGCTGCGGTCTTATGTACTAGAGGATTCGACCGGTTCCGAGCGTTCCCAAGGCCTTTGGCGAGCAACTTTGGCTTGCGGTTTGTCCTTTTGGTGGTATGGCAGCGCGAAGTGGCTCCCGTTCTGACCTGATCTTTACCCTGTATTTGTCGTCGTTTGTGGCCAATTAAGTGTCATGCCGAAGTAGTGTTTAATCGCGCAGCGAATGCAATGCGAGCTGCTCTGGCTGCCTGCTTCATACAGCCTATCCAAAACATGCTTTAGTGGCGCCCTCTCGAGCCGTCGACACGGAATGCGGCAGCCGTGACCACTCGCTGAGCCCACTACCCCTCCTCTAGTTCACTGCCACTCAAGCAACCAAGGACGTCATGAAAGGTTATTTTCTGCTTGTTTTTGTAATTTTAATTTGCCTATAACTTTTAAAATAAAGCAAAACTTAAGAAAAGTTTTATTAAGTTACTACGTTCAGTGCAAATTAAAAACCAGTAAAAAAGTTCTTGCAGGGCCCCTTTGAAGAAGCCCTGCGAGGACTTTTTTTGTGGTTTTTAATTTCCACCGCACCTGAGCGCACTGAACGTAGTAGCTTAATAAGACTTTTCTTGAATTTTGGTTTATTTTAAAAGTTATGGGCAAATTAAAATTACAAAAACAAGCAAAAAATAACCTCCTTCATGACATCCTTGGTCGCTTGAGTGGCCGTGACCTAAAGGTCAGCGAGCGCTCACAGCTGCCGCACTCCGTGTCGACGGCTTGAGAGGGCCCCACTAAAGCATGTTCTGGATAGGCTGTATGAAGTGGGCAGCCAGGGCGGCTCGCATTGCATTTGCTGCGCGATTACACACTAATTTGGCATGACACTTCATTGGTCAGAAATGACAGCAAACACGGGATAGAGATCAGTTCAGAACGGGAGCCACTTCGCGCTGCCGTAAGGCCATACCGCAAGCCGAACCTTCTCGCCGAAGGCCTTCGGAACGCTCGGAACCGGTTGGACCCTCGAGCCTGTATACGAGCACAGCGCTGCCGCGTACATCCGGGACCTTTCTACGCTTGCCGCTCATTGCTGCCTGATCCCACTATCCTTTTCTAGTATTTCCCACCGCTTGGTGGCGGGTATATCGACGGATCATTTCTTGCTTCCGTACTTTATGAACTGCATTTGTTTCTTTTCTGATCTAAAATAGTGAACAACTGCTTTTCTAAATAAGTGAAATGGTTCGCACCACTTAAATTTTGTGTTTCGACTAAATAGGAGCTTTTAGCGGCTCTGACCAGTTGTAAGCCCAGGACCAAAGAAGTCATATATCGCGCAGTTTCTGCACTGCAGGTCACCCCCATAGGTGGAGAAGGTTTCTGCGTCGTCCAGTTAAAATATGTCACACTGATATTTAGTTACTGTGGCTTGCTTGTTGTGGAAACCGCAAAAATGTTAGACTCTTACATATGATTGCAGGGCCCCTTTAAGCCATTATATACATACTTCATTCTCCCTTAAAGGGATGGTGAACTGAAATTTGGATTACAAGAAAACAATGCAGGAAATGTAGGCGGGACGCTACAATCTCTACAACACTACTCATAAGGTGATATCTCAAATGGACGGCCGTATGTTTGGAAAAAGAGGTCGAGATTGAACCAGGCCGACGAGGCGATCTCATTTTCTCCTCTCTTCGCTTTGCCCCTTCAAGGCCGCGAGGCGGGGAAGGCGTGAGGAAGTTCCCTCTACTTCGGAGAAACAAGATGTAAAGAAATCTGTCAAATGCGCTTCCTTTTTTAGAAACATACGGTTATCTGTTCGAGATGTTGTTGTATGAGTGATGTTTTGGTGTTTGTAGCATCCAGTTGCACACTTTTGCCGCTGTGTTTTGTGGAATCCAGATTTCGGTTCAGCATCACTTTAAGTGAACTGTGGAGCAGAAGCTATAGGGATTATTTACGCACGCCTTGCGAGCGGTACATTCTGAGAACAGCGCAATCCTTGCTTCCCTGTTAGCAGATAGCGGCAGCTGCCATGCCGGCTGGGTGTTCCTGGCCGCACCCGTGCAGTTGTACTGCTCTGACCGAGCTGCCTCCAACAATTCGTCTTTGCGTCCGGCTAAGTTACAGTATCATCTTTGTCAAGTTGTTCTCCATCGGCTCTTTTGGCCTAAGTTTAAGTGGACAGGGGAGCATACGCTATACTTCGTATCACCTTATGTTGTACTGCAGCGAAGGCTAGAAGCGGGAGCTCGTAGCGTTGGCAGCTGCCCTTGGTGCACGAGAGCTTGTGCCGCCGAGGTGTCCCCTAGAGCAAGGAGCTCGCGCTTGTAGCCTTTCCTTCGGTACAACACAAGGTGAAACAGAGTATAGGAGGAGAATGTAGAAACTTACAGCATGGATTTGTTTGCTCGACAGCCGAAGGATCTCATCTGAGACGGCTAGCTTTGACTGCAAGTGGAAACCACCTGATGCTAAAGGCCAGTGTTCTTCTCGCGCACAAGCAAGTAAAGGCTTACAAAAAAACATTTACGGAAAACCTGTATCGGCGATTTTACAAGTGATTTGACCCCTATCGTCGCTCGGCTGCAGGAACTAAGTGCCGTGAGCGTACTGTACATGCTTCTAGAGATTAACGGTCACATATTTCATGCCGATTCCTGGGCACCATTCACGTTGTCTTGTCGCAGAAAGCGACCTCGTCTTTTCGCACGTATGCGTTCGTTCCAGGCGATGAGCGAAGTTTTTGACAAATCTAGAACCGAGCGATGAGACGGGTGACAGTAATCGATTGCAGTTACTCAGTCTTTCCTTCGTTAAGTTGCCTACATGCAATACAGGCTTTACGCAAACATCATTTGTAAGCCTTCACTTGCTTGCATGTGAAAAAAGCACTTGCCTGTAGTATCGGGTAATCCTGGATATCGGTCATTTTAACTCGGCTGTCGAGCAAACGAAAACAAATTTAGACTTCCTCCTCTTAGTTTATGTTCCCGTCCTCTTTAATTTGGGCCAAAAGAGCAAATGAAGAACTGCTTGACGACGACATTGTAACTGTGCTAGACATGGGGAAGAATTGACGAATTGAATCGGCCAGCAATTCCTAGCTGGCGCGGCTGTCTGCTAACATAGACGCAAAGATGGCGCTTTTTCCAGGATGCACTGCTCGCAAGCCGTGCGTAAATACATCCTATACACCATTTTGTATTACGAGTCTCTCTTCTTTGCTCTGGAGCATGTGAAAGGACACAATGAAGCAGTCCGAGAGCTCAAGCTCTTGTTTCACCTTTGCTATCTCGTTATTTCTTCTTTTTTTTCTGCAATTTTTTGCTGTCAGCATTGGGTACACTGATTTCTATGATGAGGATTTTATGCAGAATGCTCCATTGCCTCGTCCCAGTTATCCGAATCGGAGAACTCAAATTTCTGAATTACCCACCGAACCTCGACCTATTTTCTAGTGGGCGAAGCATTTCAATGCTGGCAGACTTATCCTTAATACGGTGGATTTCAAGCTCAATTGCTGTTTAAAATAGAAGTTTCTTGAAAATTCCTGAAATGATAGTTGCTGCCATTGGGAAGCTGGAGAAAATATGCCGAACCACAGCACTGTGATTGTGACTTTAGCATAGCTGCAAAGGAACACACTGCATGAACCATCACCATCATCATTTATAGCCCTATTCAGCTTTCAGTTATTTTAAGTTATGGTGACATATTAAATCAAACCTTAAAGTGTTGTTGTCTTGTAATTAAGCTTGACTTGCTATTTCAGTTCAGTTCATATGTCCTTATTTGAATTTGTAAGGCCTACGCTTTAGAACAAACAGCTACCGTAAAATACCGGGCAAGCGCCCACTCAAAATTTAGAGATAATCGCAAAAAAAGGGGGAATGGGCGCTTGTCCGGTCATAAATTTTACATATAAATGTACTGTGCATATTTTCTCAGCTTTTAAAAATTTGGATATCGGCGCTTAATGTGGAATGGGCAGGGTGCATGGTATTCTACGGTATACTCGGTGACAACTTTTCTTGCCAATGCCGTGGAAGGTACAGGCACGCATTCCAACTCCCATTTTGAACGCTGAATAAAGCTGTGTGCAAGCTCTCCTCCTCTCCCCGGAAATGCCAAGAAAAGTTGTCGCCGAATGAAGTGATCAGGTTTTAAAATAAAAGCACAATGTTTTTTTTTTTCAGAAACGCTGCTGCAACCAGGCCGAGAGGATTGAGGAGTTAGAGAAACGGGTCGCTGACCTAGAAAGGGAAAATGCAAAGCTTCGGGACCAGCGGATCCTAGCCGAGGAAAGGCTGACTCGGGCAGAAGCTGGACTTGGTATGGCCTTAGTAATTTTGAATCATAACCTACAGGCTGTTGCAAAATAAAGTTTCAACTTGATGTGTCGAGTTTCGACGCATCAAGTAGAAACTTGCGTCGAATACGTCGTGCTGGTCAGATTTACATATTAAAAATGTAAATCTCAATACCAAGTGCAAAAGAAAAAAAAAATTCGAATGCCGAGATTCTCAAATTAATCAGTTCTTCACTCGTGGAAATGGAGCGTGCTGGTTAAGTTACGGTGTTTGTGGAGAATAACATAGAGAACAAAAACAGGACGACACGTTTCATTTTTTTTTTTTTTATCATCAGGTAGAGATTTGAATTTTTAATGAATAAATGAAACTGGCACAATATATGTTCGAGGCAAGTTTAAACTCCATATGTTGAGCCGCTTATTTTTGAGTGTCTCAAAATAAAGTTCAAGCTAATATGAATGGTCCTTCAACAATCAGCGACTGAACGCACCTAGTTCAAACTTACCTCAAATATGTATTTGACTAGTTTCATTTGCACATTAAGATTATAAATCAACTCCAAGTACGAAAAAAAAAACAAAAAAAAAAAAACCTGACTTATTTGGGCATTTTGTTTTGCCTTAAACTTGATATTTATTTTTGTCTAAGTTGTTTGAGGTATCACATTTGAATTAACACCACAGACAGTACATATCATTGCCATCTGCAGAATACAAAATAATGTATTCATTGTTTTTTCACATTAAGGAATAAATTAACTGATGGGAGAAGATTTCTAATAGTGTTCAAGTTCAGCACGTCATTAAAAGAAAAAATTTTTTTTTCGCTTCACGTTCCTGGGACGTGTTTCTTTTAGCCTGTACACATTTTGGTAAAAGAAGATTGTTCCGATGTTCTGAACCTCTGAATATGCAAGAATACAACACTTCCGGCAAATTCTTGATAGTTTTTTTTTTTTTCTTTTTTTCGCCAACTTTTTATCCCCGCATTTATTCATTTTTTTTTTTTTTTTTTTTTTTTTTTTTTACTATTGGCACAGGTATTTAGGTCGAAAAGACATAGCTTTGAACTTCCGAGCCACTGAGCATGTGACTAGTAGTGCCTTCTAACAATGAGTCTCTAACAATGACCATCTACACAATCTTTAATGCAGTGAAGAGCGACAGTCGCTATACGTATGCATAAATAATTTCAGATTAAAATAAGCTCGACCACGCCCTATTTCCCCTTATTGCTTTCTTAACAGTCTGAAATATCTGGGAGGAGGGGAAAGCGACTGTCTCTCTTCGTTAGTCTCTAATCAAATAATTTATGGTTACTCTACTGCTTTCCAGACCTCCAAAAAATGGCCAGGCGTATGAAGAAATCTCTGCAGGTGCTTGTTGAGCAGCTTCCGGCGCACCCAGCATTTGCTGTAGCGAACGTCATTCCCGCAGTACTGGTATGTTCAACTTAATTTATTTGGATCGAGCAGTTTTGCTGGAAACACTGTTTGAGAACTTCATGAGTCTAATATGGGGCTCAGGGCCAAGTGTCTTAAATGGACATTGAACATAAATTGAATGTTTCTTTATTCTATATTTTTGCCTCGTAAGAAATAAATTGCCCAGTTTCCTTTTTAATATTTTAAAAACACTAATTCCTATTCACACGGAAGCATTAGACTGATTTGCATCGAGAAATGAACATGCTTACTGACCGGCATATCAGTATGCCGAATGAAACATGGCAACCAATTCAAGGTCTAGCTCGACATGTGGCATACAGTGCATGGACATGACAGTAATGTTCCGATGCAATGCAGTCAGTCATGGCCATGTGCTACCTTGTATGCATGCAAAATACCAGTGTTATTGCAATTTAATCGTCAGCTGAGAGTTTGAAATGAGGGAGCTTATGTGAAGTTCCAGTTGTTTGCATGGGCACGACCTGTGGGAGACAAACCTACTCAATTTTTTTTTTCTTTCAATACATGCTCGTGGTGCACCAACTTTTTCATTTTTGTTTGCCGAAGACATATGCCTTGTTTAAAACGATAAATATATGGGCTGAAAATCATTTTAGAGTAGGCCAACCACCATAAAATCTACAACCTTGAATCATGGAAGGTTTATCACACTTGACTGCCCATTCTTTTTGTAAGGAATTATCGAATGTTGCTTTTAATATCTGAAGCTTTGAATAGTTGTAAATAAGCTGTAAGGAGCACCTGGTGGGAACCACCTTGGTTAGTCATCTGTTGGGCGCGACATTGATTTGATAATAGTTGCCAGCACCATTGGCCTGCCTTGTTTCATTTAATGGCTTTACTGTTGGCACCGTTAGCAGCATATGCATAGAGGCAAGAAAGGCTATTGAAACACATCTACAAATATGGGATGTACACTTTGCAGTACTGTTATGTGAACACATCTGTGGTTTTTGCATTTTACTTGGACTGGATATAGACATTATATCTTACTATCCAAGTTGGTGCCCCAAATGAGCATGGTCTAAACACTATACTCAGTCTCATCCTACGATGGTCTAAAGCCCAATGCTACATGCCGCCGGGTCCAATCACGAGCCTGTTAGAAACCACGTGGTATATTTGCTTTGCCATACGTATCGGTGCGCCAAGACGCGTCATGCGGAGGCAAGTTTTTGTCTGCTTATCGAGCCCTCGCGGCGGCTCCGTCTGCTTGCCACTACCAAAGACTACTGAAGGGATTAAATACCGTGTGGAAGCAATTTGGCAGAGGGAACCTGGGATCAGAACCAGTGGCCATTAAAAAATGAATATGAGTCGGAGTGTTTGACACGCTCGCGTATGTACGGACCATATGCGCACATACACACATGGTCCGTACCAATCTTTGTGTATGTACAGCTGCAACGGAAAAAGAGTGGCACAAGTGATCGATAACCGGAGCAGACAAATGGCGAAACGCGGCGCTATTGTTTTGGAGCGCTCCTATAATAGCGAGAGTACCAGGCGCGTTCAATATCTCAATGTGGGGGTGGCCAGCAGAAAATGAAGGGATAAGATAGCTTTCGAGATACGGGCTTTAGGATAGGCTGCTTCCTGTCGGACACCCCCGCGTTGGCCGACATGGAACGTGACTGGCAATCTCGCTATCGGCAAGCTCGGGAACAATAGCGCCTTGCGGCGTGATTTGGCCGCTCCGGGCGTCAGCCACTTGTGCTACTCTTTTTCCGTTGCAGCTGTACGTACACTAAGATTGGGTTGGATTGTTATGGCTAAGGCTAAACGACTTTATGTCAGCGTTGCCTGTGCGCCGTTCAAATTTTCCAAATGGTTGACATGTTTACAAAATATGGCAAGAATGTTTATGAAACTAAATACCATATACCCTTACTTCACCAATATAAAATAGCACGCTGTCATAACAGAGAACCATATGCGTAAGATTAGTGCACTTCGTGTTCTCCGTGTCGGAATTTCTCTCGCGCACTTTTTCGCAATGTGGATGCAAGCTTTTCTGAGGTAGTGCCCGGCCCGCCAGCCTTCGGGCCCTAGACCATCGCAGAGTGAGACGGAGTATAGTACCCTCCATGGCAACATTTCACTTAAGATAAATAGAAGAACAGCAAAAACAAACAATCTTTTGTTTGGGCTGCTTGACCACCAGTTTATTTTCTTTTTAAATTGAAAGCCTCCCAAGAATGCAAATAGTGTGGCGGAAAGCACTCGTTAAAGGGAAGCTGAGGTGGTTTTGTATCTGAGGAAACACACTTAAATCATTTTCATTTGACCTCCAAGATCTCGAATATCGAGGTTATTTTTTTAAAAGTTTGTGTATGAAGGCTGCAGAAAATTATCTTCAAAATACCGCTGAAGGCCCTCCTTCCCGGAGCGTGACGTCGCAAAAGGAGTTTTCGGAATCTCCGCTCGCGCGCATCTTCAGCATATATCAAAGCTATGCATGGGCACTCTTGCTATTTTTAAGAAGGGCAGAGATGTCACGACTGATGCGTGTACGGGGGAATATACCTGGCCAGCTTGCGATTACACGTGCGGCCCTCGAGCGACAAGCGCTTGGCAACCAAAAGGTCCTCTTACGACGTCACGACTGGTCAGAGGTTTTTCGTGTTTTCTCGCGTTTAGTAACATCTTCGGGAAAAACAAACGTGATATTCAGATTCACAGGATAAAACTATGCTATAATCTCTATCGAATTTTTTTTTTAAACTGTTTCAGCTTCCCTTTAAAGCCACCAATATACGAAGGGACGATTTATAATTGTAAATGACTGGTGTGACAAAAGTGCAAAGAAACATGGATGTCACACTCATTCTAACTTTTGCTCAGTGCACATACATTGTAAAAAACTAACCAGCTTTTCTAAAGTGTGCAAGCGTTTTAGTTCCATCGAAGTTGCCCTCTTGGAAATTAGCTACAGCAAAAGGTGTAACAGTCACAACGTGAAGTTTCTGTATCTAATTAAAATAAAAGTCTCCTTGTCGTCTAATGCCTACTTACTTGCATTAACTTATACTCTGTTTTACCTTATTTTATACCACAGTAGAAATTACAAGCTATTGGAGCCAATACACCGCTGAGAAGGTGCCCCATGACTTCCACGTTGGAAGCAGGTGCGCATGGAACACAGTCATGTGGCACGCTAAAAGTGTTGGGTTGGCTCCGTGGTGGCTCGCAGCATTTTCTGCAATATATTGTAAGATGAAGCGGAGCCTCGGAACTACTATAGTTGACCAACTGGATCCCTCAAATGATAGAAAGATGTAACGAGCAATTGCATGGTATTAAAATTTTCTTATCATGAAATAGCAGTTTTATGTGGTTGTTGCAGATGCCTTGCTTATGTGCATTCTTATACACTGGTTGCATGTGACGTCATGTCCTTCGTCCTTGCTGTTGGCAGAAGCCTGCTTACTCATTTCTGGTCGCTCGCAATGTTTGTAGAATAGGTACACTAAAGGCTATGCTTGAGGAAGCTTGTCCACCCGAAAGGAGGACCAAATGGCGTCAAGTGCAACCTATGTATACAACTTCTAAAATCGAGGAAGCTTGCATATCAACTTTAGGTATTTAAGTGAAATGTGCCAAGCTGTTGACGCCTCTTTTTCTTTTTCCTTCAAGGTGGACATTGGAAGCAACGTTCATGTGGATGAAAATTTGTTAGAGCAGCTAAAAAGAAAGGAGACAAGTCCTGGGCCTTTCGCAAGGGGCCTCCTAACCATTGTGTTTTCAGATGAGGAGCTCAATGGCCACTCGCTCTTTGGCAAAAAGTGCAATGCACAAAAGGAGGATACAGTAAAACCAGGGCTGGACCCCGTACGAGTTAATGCAGTGATTGGTATGTTCGGAACTGTTGCAATTAGTATTTTTCTTCAGCTCATCCGTTTAGACCAGGGGTGGCCAGGCTGACCCGGCCTAAGAGCCGCAAAAAAAATCACGAACATTTCAAGAGCCGCGGGGAGGGGGGAGGCCGATTTTTGTTTAGAGCAATAAACGAAACTCGAACTAATTTCGGTCTAACTGAGTAAAAAGCCATCCAATTGTGCGTAAGGCAGCAGTAGCACAACATTACCAAACCGCAACCTGTCTTTCGATTTAAAACGCGTTTCATTTCTCTTTTAGGGGAAGTGCTTTGGAGGGGGGGGAGAGGAAAGATAAGGGAGGGAGCGGCGAGCCGCACTTTAACACGGGGAAAGCCGCAGCTTGGCCACCCCTGGTTTAGACAATACACTATGCCTAATAATTGACTTGGGGCCTTGTACCCCTGTACTTTATTTTACAAGTTGTCTACGGCGCTAGCAAAGACATGGGCTTGAGAGTGTGACTCAGTAGAATGCAATGTAGCAAATGGTGAGCTGTGTGAGTTGGTATACAATAAACATGGTTGAAACAGTGCACAAACGACACAAAAGGAAGAGACAAATCTGACAGGACAAAGTTCTGAGGAGCTCCAGCGCTCTGTTTTGTCCATTCCGTCTGTGTATTTTATGTCTCATATGCTCTTTTAACCATGTTTAGCAGAATACAATGTTTGCACAAGCATATGCACAGAGAAGACCTTTCTGAAAGCCATATGCTTGCAAACATAACTTTGCTAGCACTCAAGACAACTAGTAAGATAGACTATGGTGCTGTGTTGTAGCTTGCTACGGAACTCTTTGTGCTAAATATCTACACATGTCTTTAATTTTATTAATGCTAACTGTACCTTATGTTTTAAAGAGCTTTGCTTTATTAAAAGCATTTCTAACCTACACATGTTTCCTTTCAGCAAATCTACGTGCTCAAAAAAGGCTTGGAAACAAATCTGGCGGTTTAGAAGTGTACGGCAGTTGTGTAACTTAATTGACATTGGTGATCATGTTTGAGCTTTTACCTCCTGGTGACTTTGTAATCCAGCTTTACTTGACTTTAAAAGCCGGTAAGTATGCTAGCAACATCGTGACAGTTTTAATGCATCATGATTCCGGACATACTTTCATTAAATTTTGGCACATGTGGCTGTTTGCTTCCATCATGCATCAATGATGACTGTGTGGTATACATTGCAAACCTTCGCTACTTTCTTTGGCTGGCACTACTTTATTTCACTTTAAATTTTATTTTGACCAGTGATACGTCCCAAATTACTAAAATAAACAAAATCTTGGCGGTTAAAAAAATATCTATATCTTTCAGGACATTCCAGTAATGATTAGTAAATTACATATTGGTATAATTATACTTTTGAACATTTCATGGTGTGTTAAACTGTTGTGGAGCTTTTGGTTCTTTTTGTGTGTTCTGGAGAGAAGTATTCAACTAAGTAAATGAATCCATGCATAATGCTCATTCTTTGCATTTTCGACATGCAACATGATGCTGTTAATTATTATTAGGTGACATTATTGCAGCAGGACTACATTATAGGAATTAGTCTATGCCCAAAAAAAATTTCACAGCAATAATTTCTCTAATATATTTTGGTCACTTGATCAACAGCACAAGGTGGCATTCCAACTTCTAACGCCAACCTTTTGTTTATTCCCTGTAGATCCCAGGACTATACTCTGTCTCGCCAAAAACCGTGCAGTGCAGCCAAAGCTACAACCCTCGTAAGCCAGTGGGAAGAGCGAAAGTCAGTCTTTTGCTCTGAAGACTGACAGCCCTCATAAGCCAGTGCGAAGAGCGAACAGCGTTCTTTAATTGTCTCACGAGGGCTGTAGCTTTGGCTGTACTGCACGGTTTTAGTGAGACAGTATAGAACCACCTTTTTGTGTTAGTTAAAATCGTTGCAGACGTTGCACCTTTTTAAATGGTCCAGTATAGTTACCTCTTAGAGAAGTCTGCTTAACATAGTATTTCAGTGAATTTAACCTTGTTCTCCCCTTGTGTCATGCGTTTGCATCTTTAGGGAACAATAACTAAATAACAAACTAATATTTATTTTATTTTCTAGCGTACACATGCAAGATCTTTGGGGACAAAGAAAAGGCAGTGAAGGCCAGCCTGGCCTCGTACCTTGCAAAGAAACACAATTTTTCCCAGTGAGGTGAGTGGAAGTGCTGAATGAATTTATCCTTGATGTTTTTTTTATATATGTAAGAGCCTTAAAATGTTTGACACCCCAAAGGTCGTTTCTTTTTGTCTAACTGATGCAAGTTATAGTCATGGACACGCAAAAAACACCACAACGCAGTCTTGTGGGGCACGCGTGTCAAAAAATAACCTCTACGCGCAAAAAAAAAAAAAAAAAATATTGATGGCGCAAGACGCGATTTAGTCAGTAGTCACCTCCTTTACACTTGTCTTCTCTCTCGGCATTTTGGATGCGTGGAGGAGAAATGGATCAGCTTGGGCCATCATGTTGAGGTGGATAGAATCTCTGACCATCTCGTTGAGGTGGAAAGAGTGTATCATCATTCCCTGACGTCATAGACTTTGCTCACAAAATTTAAAATAAATCTCGCGCCATCAATATTGCTGTAAAAAAACTTTTTTTTTTCACGTAAATTTCTTTTTTTACACGCGTTTCAACCGGATTGACTAAAAAAAGCATTCTTTTTCCTTTTCAGTAAACCGTTAAACACTAAATTGAAAAAAAAAAAAGATTTTTAATAGGCCTAGAAAAAGCAAGCATAATTCAAAATATATCTTGCACGCGAAAACAAATTTTTTGTTGCATTATTCATGCCGCAAGATTCAATTTTGGTGGGGCAGGGTGGAGGTAGCCGCACTCTAAGCTCTGCCCTTCAGAAATGTGCTTAGTTGACTGAGCACCAATTCTCTCATCTCATTCGTCGGAGGGGAGATTGACGTATCAAATTTTAACTGTAAAATTGTTTTTCCGTGCCGTGCACGTTTGGCAGCCGCAGGCTGGCGAAGACATTAGCAGACGATGTAAAACTTGCAGCCCGAAGCCTTGACAGAGAGCCTTTTGGCTTCCGTGCTTGTTCGGCCGCTTAGCCAATGGTAATGGGCGGGGTCGCTGATTTGTGGGCGGACTCACAGCGGCCCGTGACCTCTACCAAAATTATGTTTCAAGACATAAATAATGCGATGGAAAATTTTTTCCTGTGTAGGATTTATTTTGAATTATACTTGTTTGTTCTAAGCCATTAAAGAAGTTTTTTTTTTTTACATTTCAGTGTTCCTTTAAAGTTTGCAAGCACCTATTTTATAAAACTGAAAAAACACACCAAATTAGGTGTCTAGAATTAGCAAAAAATATGGGTTTTGCAGTATCATATATGGAAGAATCATAAATACTGAATTGTTGATGAGATGATTCGTATAAGTAGCAAGTTGACAAATTATTGGCTCTATTAATTTCTGCTTTTTTTTTCAAATAAGTTGCTAGCATCACTGTCACTAGTAACCGCATTACATCCATCCATGCTTTCAGAGATGTTGTCTTCATGGTATTACCTGGTATACCAAAATGTTATTTTTTTCTTTTCAGGTGACAGATGCCCGGTGCAAGACATGTAAAATAAATAGTTCACAACTGATCCTCCTTTTTGTTGTATATATACATTAGCATTTCCCTTAGATGTATGTGGGTCTGCAGACCCCATAGGTACTCCTTGTAGACCTTGCATGGCTTCTCTGCAGACCCCATAAGGACCCTGTGTAGACCCTGTACGGCTTCCCTGTGGACCCTGTAGGTACTCCCTGTAGACATTGTATGGCTTCTCTACAGACCCCATTAGGACCCTGTGTAGACCCTGTAGGTACTCCCTGTGGACATTGTATGGCTTCTGTGTAGACCCTGTATGGCTTCCCTGCGGACCCTGTAGGTACTCCCTGTAGACCTTCTATGGCTTCTCTGCAGACCCTATTAGGACCCTGTGTAGACCCTCTATAGACCCTGTATGGCTTCCCTGCGGACCACGTTGGGACTCCCTGTAGACCTTGTATGGCTTCCCTGCAGACCTCATAAGGACCCTATGTAGACCCTGTATGGCTTCCCTGTGGACCCCATAGGTACTCCTTGTAGACCCTGTATAGATTCTTTGTAGACCCTATGTGGCCTTTCCGCAGACTTCATGTAGACCTCGTATAGGTTTTCTGCGGGCACCCTATAGACTCTGTATAGTTCCTGTGTAGACACCTTATAGAGTCTGTGTGGACTCTATGTGGTGTCTTACCACAGAGAGGGTATAGGATGACCTCACATGGTCAATAGAATAGGACGTCCATAGAACGTCCGTTGGCCAATATTCTATAGGGCAGCCATAGGACGACTACATAGAGGCAAAAGCATGTGTGGTCTCCCTATGGATGCCTTGTGTCCTGCCTATGGACGCTGCTCTATAGAACGTCCTAGGAGTGTCCATACAGATTTTTGTAAGGGCTAGCCCTCCCTTCACGATCTTTAGTAGCGGTAACGGCACTCGCGGAGACTACCTCCGAGTCCAACTCGTCCATGACATGCTCGGTGTTTGTCTCTCTACCTCTGGTTCCTGCGGCAGCTGCGGAAGTCCTCACACCCTACTTAGTGTTGTGGTTGAAATGGTGGCAGGACTCACCCTTGGGCACGTGGGAGTCGCGGCGGATGTGGCCGGTCCGCTAACAGAGCAGGCAGAACGGCGTCCTGCCCGGCACCACGACGAGCGCCAGTCCTCCGGCGATACGCAACAGATGCAGCAGGTCCTTCAGTGTAAGACCAGGGGGGCCATGTAGCACGTTTTGGACTCCCAGGAGACTAGGGAGAAGGAAATGACGTCAACAACGCTTTTTGGGTGTTGATTGGTCGAGTCGCTGATGACGTGTTGCGTAGTGCTGCTAAGCAAAAAAGCGCCGAAAAAATACAGGGACACAGACGAAGGGAAACAGGACAAGGCGCGTCGGTATCCTTATCTACAAATGAGTTTGAATTTTTGAAACGCGGGCTCAGTAGATAGAAAAGAAATGATTCTTTTTTTTTTTTTTTTTTTTTGTGTGTGTGTGTGTGTGGCTATATAACGTGTGAAAGCGCCTTGTCCTGTTTCCCTTCGTCTGTGTCCCTGTATTTTTTCGGCGCTTTTTTGCTTGCAATGAACCAACTGGCCCAAATCTCCACTTTGCTGCTAAGATACGTTCATTCACACCTACGCCACTTCCTTCTCCCTAGTCTCCTGGGAGTTGAAAGCGTGCAACATAGCCCCCCAGGCTTGAGCCGAATGACAGCCGTTCGCGTCATCGACGCGCAGCCCGTAATGTCTTGTACCCGGCACTAATCGCTACCCACTTCGGTTACTGTGCCGTACGATGCCAGCGCTGCCCTCACCTCGTCGTCAGGAACATGGTACAGCAGCGAGTGCAGTTTTGGCGGATGTCTCGGTTTCCTGGGTCGATGACAAGGCTTCACCCCCCCCCCCCCCCCTCCCTTTGGTGACAAGGTCGCCGGCGGCGAGGGTCCTACGCTTACCATCGAGTAACTTGAAAGTGGCAACCTAGAACCGGTTCATCGGGTATGCCCCTCATGAGCGGTGGCTTTGGGGAGCATTACAAAATGCTGCAGGGTTCCCTGGAAGTCCTCGACGCGGTACGGGCGGCCACGAACATCAGCGTGCAAAAACACGGTGTTTAACACCTCAGAACCAGTTGGCAGAACCGGTAGAATAGTAGAATAATCATTAGACGCCGCGCCTTTTAGGGCAGCGCTGCCCTAGGGTGCCTCAATGTCCTTTTTTAGGGTGATACAACCCTTGGTGGTACCCGATGCCGACAGCACGCGCTCATGGGTAAAGTACAAAGAAATCGACGAAAACAAAATGTCGCCATAGCACAGCCAGCGCCACAAGCGCGTACAGGGACACGCTCTTCCACACGCTTCTGAACAAAAAAGAAAAATAAACGTGTGGGTCAAAATGGCCGGATGTCTCCACCCTAAGCAAAGCGCACATGAAATCACTCTACACTGCCCTCCCGGGCCACTCTAGACCCTTTCTGGAATTTGGGCTGGCCACATTGATTGCTATCATTATCTAAAAAAATTGCATATGTGATATATTAATGCCGGCCTTCTGTTTACTGATGAAGAAAGAAGTTGAAGATGCTGCTAAGCAGATGATTGGAGGCCCATACATTCTAGGCGTTAGCACGACGTGAAGCAGGAATTGAATGCAAGTGCTGCCTAAATGTTAATTTCTAACTCGGGCCCAGCCAAAGTGTTAGTAGCACGCACTCGGTTTCAAAGCCCTTAGATGTATAGAACTTCATCCAGGTTTGTATGTGGGTTGGCGCTTCCTTCTGACTGGTTGCATTTTTGTCGCCATCTACACTGAAAGAGATTGAAAAATAACTGTGCAGTGAAGCGCACAGTCTCGTTTACCGTTTACTTGCGAAAGTGGCGGTGCCTTATAAAATACTGCAGACCACAGGTTCACTGCCGCCATTAGTAGAGTAGAAGTTAAACTGCCAGTTGAGTCAACGTTGACCAGATGGCACTGAATTCCGGAAGGGGTCTATTACCGTTTCACCGGATCTCATGATTTCACATCCTCTAGCTCTCTTCCGCTAGCGTCCAATGCCCACTGCACGCGCCGTCTAAAAAAAAACAACAAGATATCAAAATGCTCTTGTATATAGAACTGTCAATTACGCAAACTCGTGCCAGAAGTCGCGCTTTCACGTGCTCAGGAACCAAACAAATTTAGCAGTCTCGCGTTAATGCAGCGACAAGTCACGGCAAACTCGTTGGGCATCGGCGTCGCGTTCAAGCACCATGGGGCAATGGGGTGCTCGAACAAAAGTGTTCCGGGCAGAATTGACATCCGTTTTCTGCCAAAAACTTTTGTTTTGTTTCATTTTTTTGCGGACGCTTTTGTTGTGGTTGTCTTTGTTCCGGAGCGCCTGACAGCGCGTCTCCCGGCATGAGCTCTTGGCATTGACAGTGCTACAAAAGCATTTTTTTATCAGCCTCTTTTTCTCTTTAGAGAGCACGCGCAATGGGCCTTAGGTACTATACAAAAAGCCTAGTATGGAGCAAGTTATTAACGCTGTGGCTATGTTATCACCTCGGCTTCGCACGTAGCAAACCCAGGCTC